CCACCAATTTGGATCACTTGTTGTTCCCTTGTCACTGGGTTTGTCAACACCATTTCCTTTTCCCCCACCTCCCCCTATCCCATGTCCCCCTGGAACTGTCAGTCCCGTTGTTTTCTCCTCCAGATTGTTCATCCAGCCTATCATATTTAGACAGACCTGCGGAGATAATAACATGCACATAAACAAGACAGAGCAAAACCAATCAACAATATACAACAAAACAACAACAACAAACCACTGACAAAGAACAAATCAAAACACAACAAGAAAGAAAAGCTTGTAGTTAGTTCAAAGATTGTTTCTTGGCCTTTAGGAGTGTTTTCTAGTCCAGTCTGTTGGGGCACCACGCCCTGGCCTCAAAGTCTACCTTTAGCATTCCCTGGGGACCTTCCAGCTCAATTCCCTTGCTGTTCAGCTGCACACCCCCAGTGCTTTGCCTAGGTGTGGCAGGATCAGATCAGGTGCAATTCCCACACTGTGTCTCTGGTGTTGTCCCCCGCAGGCCATGGGTCAGTGAGGGCGTCATGTCTCACAGTGGGACTGGCCATGTGGTCCTCTCTGTGGACTGGCTGCTCTAATTGGGGTCATCGTCCTCAAGGCCTGGTGGGCAAGGATGTGCTCCAGTGTCTCCTCCTCCCCCTTTATCTGCTCCTGTGTGCTCTGTTCAGATATGTCCCTCTCCTGGAGCTGCAGATTCAGTTCTGTCCTTTGAAATCAATTCTTCTGGGGGGAGGGGCAGGCATCCACTTAGTATTTGGTACTGGGGCCAGCCCCCAGACCTCTCCACTGGTTCCCTACTCCACGCTGGCATGTTGCATTCACACCTTGGGGCACTGGGTTGAAGTCTGGTCCCTCTTTCCCTGTGGAGATATTAACAATACCCTCCCCTTGGGTGGGTTAGCGAACTGTGCCCCCCGCTATCCATTTCTTCCTTATTTTCATATTTTCCCTTTCCCCATCTCCTCCCCAGTTGTCTAGCATGTGGATACCTGCATTTGAGATGAGGCTTTTCAGTGACAAAATGTTTCATTTCCTTTCAGCCAAGTGATTCTTAAGTTTAGCTACATATAGACTACTGGAGGAATTAAAATATATAATAATAATACCTGTATTTGACATTAAATGATCATTGGTCTTGGCTTTGAGTTACAGCCTGTGAATTTCAAAAGTTTTTCAGCTGATATTGAAAGTATAAATTGACAGCTAAGTTTGAGAGCCATTGCTATAATCGAATTCTTACTCCAATGTCATGGATCAGATCGGTACCAGTTACAGGAAACTATACAGTCCTCACACACTAAGTCCCATGAACCTAAGTAGGATTATTAATTGAGTAGCTTTTAAATGCAATAGCTGTTAAAGATGTATTCCCTTTTAAGGTTAGATAATACATATACACGGAGAAAAGCCTCTGATGTGCATAATTTTCGTGAGGTTCCTCAATAAAATGAGAACATTAAATTGTCTTTGTCATGTCATAGTCTAGCTAGACATAGACATTAAAAAGTCATCAAGAGTAGGGAGCCTGGCTTAACAAAGGTCAAATGAATGCCACAGATGTGAAATGTTCTTGATATTCTATGACTGGAAATATTTGTATGGACTGAAATGCAGGGAAGATATTGTGGCAATGGTGACACTTGAGCTGGTTTTGATGGAGAAGGTAAGTTTGGAGAGATGGAAGAGACACATGGCAGGCCAGCATTATGCACCGGAGCCCAATATACTTGTAGGATATGCAAAGACCCTGAAATGGAAATGTAGTAACTTTAAAAAAACATCATTTTATTGGGGGCTCGTACAACTCTTATCACAATCCATCCATACATCCTTTGTGTCAAGCACATTTGTACATTTGTTGCCATCATCATTCTCAAAACATTTGCTTTCTACTTGAGCCCTTGGTATCAGCTCCTCGTTTTTCCTCTCCTTCCCCACTCACCCCTTCCTCCTGAACCCTTGATAATTTATAAATTATTATTATTTTGTCATAGCTCAAGGAATGTAGCAGCTTTGTTCAAAAAACTACTAAGACTTTCAGCAGGAAAGTACTAAAATAAGCACAAAGTACTTTAAACAAGGAATTCTCTTTGACTCAGAGGTCAGGTGTCCCTGAAGTTGGCCCCTGTGTACAAACGAAGATGTAAGTACATTTGGGCTGGTCAATATGTTTATCTTTTATTAAGAACTTTTCTATGGGGCTAGTTGGAAGTCTTTCCCGCTATTAGAAAGAAAATCAGATGCGTAAGAAGCAGTCTGTACCAGCACTCATAAGTGAAAATGAGTTGGCTGAGTGAATGAAATATTGGGAGAATTAGCTTACAGAGTTTGCGAGCAGATGCTGTTGTTAGTTGTGTCAGCATCAACTAGCGGTAGCTCCACGTACAAGGACTGTGACGTTGCTTTGTCTCCTGTGATCTTCGTGATGGTTGATACGGAAGCCAGAAAGTCCAGCTGCAGACAGATTCCACATCCATGGTTTACGTATTTGGCTGGAAGTTTCTCCTGACTCAAGCAGCTGAGGGGCTGATGAACCCAAGATCACTATGAAAATGACAGGCTGGTGCTTGCAGAGGGGAATTAATCCAAGGTTGTAGGTCAGATGACAGTTTGTTGAAGACTCTCGCGATCAGCCAAAGATTGGTTCAGATCTAAAAACCCAAAGTCCCTGAGTCTGATGCAAGATCCATACCAAGCAAAATATGAGAGTTTCCACACTGCCCAGTTATATTAGAACCAGGCAGCATTACAGAGGAATCTTACTTGATGGCATAAGAGCTGATCTGAGTCGGAGTGTTAGACCCTACTCTAATTTTACAATTGATTGGCTGTTCATAGCAGATCCTATTGTTAAAATGATTACATTGCATTTGGTCACATCATGGGCGGTTATTGAATCTCAACCACCAAAGTCTTGAGATAAATAACCCAGCCAAATTGACACAGAACTTTTCACCACTGGCATACTTGCATCCATTGCTGCACCAACTGTATATTTGAGTGCGTCCATCCTAGGGGCTCTTCATAAAACACTACATAATAAATATATTCTTTTTTGACCCACAGGTTTTCATGAGCTAATTTTCTTTGCAATCTAGTTCTATAACATAGAAGCAGGGTCCATGGATAACTCCAGTTTTCTGGGGGAGGCTAGAGTATTCAATAAACACTAAGATGATAAATTTAAAATGTAGTGACACTTGCATTGGCATATCTCATGCCTCAGTGGAAAATACATATACAACAGAATAAGTATTCAATAACCATGTGTGACCTTTATTATTAAACAATGGAATGGGTTTTTGGGTCATTTACAATTTTCCAAATGCTAATTGGGTTGCATTTTAATCTTATAGAACCCTGGTGAAATCTTCATTATTTTGAAAGATGAAGTAATTGGTGATACAGTCGAGGTGGAATTTATATCAAATAATAAATCCATTAGGACACGACCAGCCCTTTGGAATAAAACAGTCTGGTGTATGAAAGCATTAGGTAAGAATTTTTATGCTTTAAATGTGTAAATCACCATCTTGAGTTCTTTTCAATAAACTTATGATTAATGGTTTCACTTCTCTACAGAAACTAGTATTGTTCTGCAGGTGTTTCCTGTGTTTAGCTTTTTTAATATGCATATGAGTGTTACTTTTAATATGGGTTCACATAAGTAGGAATGCACAAAGTATGACAAATTAGGTGGAATATCAATGTACTGAAATGACAGCATCACATGCTTTTAAATGTGTCAGCAGAGATTACTTTAATATACATCAGCTATTAAAAATGGGCCTGAATTGTGTGCTTTATTGTAAAGTTAGAATTTACAAGTGCTTAAATTTTTACTATTAAACTATCTTTTTATTTAACTTTTTTTTGCCATGGCCTTCAGTATATTTTTAGTCACTGTGGAAAGTATAATTCTTTTTCAATATTTTATCATCCTTCTATATCATTTTCCACTCTTTCCTCACTTATTTAATGAAAATTTTGAATTAGTTACCCAACTTTGCTAGACACATGACAAAACCAGATCAGACTTAAAATTGCAGACGGAAAAGCTGCACTTGCCACAGTAATTGGACTAAATACCAAAGAAACATATTAATTTATGAGTGTCTTAATATAAATAGGAGCCTTCTTATATCTTACAATCAACTAATACAATTATCGTTTAAAACTTCACAAATCTGTACCACACAAAATATTTTAAGGTAAGTAGACTGCGAGTCTTATCATAATTTGAAAATTAAGTTTAAAAAGCTTAAAATTATGGGATGTGTCGAATGCTACAACGTTCTTCCCCACACCCTCATGCCCACTTTAAGAATGCAGCTATTGCGATGTTCATTCACTGAGCACTTACCCACTTTTCCTATTGTGTTCCCTCTCAGGTTTTCCTGAACAATTTTGGTTAGGGTTAATATTTAGGGAAGAAAAAACTTTACAATGACCACTGTGTTAGTCTGGTTATACTAGAAAAACAAATTAATGGATACTCATATATGTGTAAGAGAAAGTTTTATATAAAGGGCAATTGTATATTAATAAAGCAACCCAACCCAATCCAATCCAAGCCCATATATCTGATACCAATCTATAAAGTCCTCTTCAGACTCATGAAACACATGCAATGATGCCAAATGCAGGGCGATCACAGGCCAGTGGGTAGAAAGTCTCTGGATCCAGTGGTGCTGTAAGCATCTCAGCTCTGGCAGGGGTTTCCACGTGGCTTATCTAGTTCCCAGGGTTTGGGGTCTATCAGCGTAGCACCATGTATCTTGTCAGTAGAGCATCTCCAAGGGAGTGAGCAGAGAGAGAGAGAAATGTCTCCTACCTCCAACAAGGAAAATAAGGGAGTTCCCAGAATTCTCATGAGAAGGCCACCCCCACACAGAAGCCTCATTGGCTATGGCCCAGTTGACTGACTAGACTCCACCCCTTCACTCTTAATCCTCTCAAGTCCCAAATCAAATTGACACC